CATGTTATAATCACCATGTATGTTAGAAATTAAAATAATCGATATTGCTAAAGAGATTTGAATTCCACGAAATTTACAAATTTTCAAAAAGTTTTACCTACTGTTTAATTCTTCGATAGAAAATGTGTGTAATGTTTGATTTTTGGCGCCGCGCATAATGAACGGCGCTTCTGTCAGTCTATGTTAGATAGCCATTTTTAATGTTTAAATCAGGGCTCGGAATTAACGGCACATGACAGAGACAGAGCATTTTCGGAGACTGCTCTGAAATGTGCTGCAGAATGGTATCATCCAATCCCATTTGTGAGATCTCTCCTGCAGCATATTTCAGAGCAGTCTCCGAAAATGCTATGTCTCTATCATGAGCAGTTAATTTCGAGCCCTGTACTACACCATAGTATGTATAGAACTGCAGTAAGTACACAAGTACTTACATACTGTATTACAGTCAGATAAAGAGGAATCGTCAGCACCGACAAAAGAACAATGTAAATCAACATAGAGGGTATACAGTTAATAAACTATACTAAGTATGGTACCATACTAAGCTACCATACTAAACTGTACTAAGCATATGTACCACATTCCGCGTAATTAAATTTTTATCGATTATATTGCTTTTGTCATCATGATAAGTATTGAATTATGTATTTTATTTATAGATTTTAGTATTATCATCTATATAGATTAAGGAGATTCTTGAAGAACATTTTNCTCCTGCAGCATATTTCAGAGCAGTCTCCGAAAATGCTCTGTCTTTGTCATGTGCAATTAATTCCGAGGCCTGGTTTAAATCAACGCCGTAAGTTGAGTTGTTCCGAGGAAACAAGTGTTTAAATTCATGTACACGTTGATGTGTGTTTCAAAGAAAAGATTTCTTCTGACGTATGTACGCGATATCGTTGGCAGGATGTTTGATTACTGATAAAATTGTTGTTCGTCGTCATGTGTTTAGTTCTTACATTGCCAGCCAGACCGTAAAAGCACCGAACACGATTAGCGATAGTGTGTCGAAAAGGAATTGATTTAAAATGGAAACGGCTGAAATCGAGGAGAATAGGAATCACCCTAAGTCCATAAAATTACCAGCCACAGTCGAGGTATTCGCAAATTTGAAAAATGCTCAAAAATTCGCTATTGACATCGGTACGTACTTCGTCACACATTAAACGTCATAATGTATTTATATTGATACGACGTAAACTCATATACGTTAATTTGAATCCGCCGATAGGAAAATTCACAATTTTCTGTTAAAAATCACATATTGTCTCTTCTGTTTATAAGAACCGCTTTGTTTTTTGTTCAATTATAGGCTTATCACTGACGAAAATAGCTTATTATTCAACAGTTAGTTATCGCAAAGCACTCTATGAAGATACAGGTTTAGGGAATACTGGAGAACGGGCATACAAAGTATACGAAGGAAATAAACTTCATTTTGTTAAGTTTGAAACTCAATACATTGAAAACTGTTTAGACTCTGTAAAAGAAAATTTAGTGAATGTTGAAAGGTTTCAAGGCAAAAGCATTAAAGTAACTGGAGGAGGAGCATATAAATATACCCCTTTGTTGCAAGAAAAATTGGGCTTGATGTAAGCAACTTCATTATTCGTTAGTTTTATCAGTTTGTAATTCATAGATAAAAACGATTAACTTGTCGTTTTAGTGTTGATAAGGAAGATGAAATAGCATGTTTGATAAAAGGCTGTAATTTTTTACTTAAAAACATACCATGCGAAGCATTCGAATTTGAAAGGCATGGATCTCCTGAGTATAAATTTCAAAAGGCTGATCCTAACATATTTCCATATATGTTAGTTAATATCGGTAGTGGTGTCAGTATTATGAAAGTAAGTATAAATATACTGAAACAATCACGAAACATTGCTTTCCAAAGTTACGATATTTGTACAACATTTTCTTAGGTAGAATCTGATAAAGTATTTGAAAGAGTTGGTGGCACAGCTACCGGAGGAGGAACATTTTGGGGTCTAGGCTCGTTACTCACAAAGAGAAAGGTATTCGCATCAGTTTTCAGTATTTTAGAAAGTATATACCAATTTTTAATGTTTCACTGTGATCAAAATAAAATATCTATTAACTATATCGCTTTACCAGCCTATAGATCAGTATACATCAATGTTTTTGTATACAATGTATGTAGTATTGATTAAGGTTATTTTTTTTATTATAAAGAATATTGTATTAAGCTTTGTGCTTACATAACATCACTGAGACAAATGTACACATTTAAAGAGTTATTTTAAAAATACCCTGCTAGGGCTTTGATGAATTGCTGCAACTTGCAGACCGAGGAGATCATCGTAATGTTGATATGTTAGTGAAAGATATTTATGGAGGTGATTATTCTTCTCAAGGTTTGTCTGGGGAGCTTATTGCATCTTCTTTTGGTAAAGCAACATCTTGCAATAACGGTAAGAAAGTCTAGACTAGTCAGAGACAATGAAATAAAAAAAAGACTAATAAATTGCAGAATAATTTATTTTAATTATCTTCCAGGGCGATTGAAATTTTCCGAAGCAGATCTTGTTAGAAGTCTTTTATTCACAATAAGCAATGATATTGGACAAATAGCTAGTTTGTATGCAACTGTGCATAAAATAGACAAGATTTATTTTGGAGGCTATTTTCTCCGTAATCACCCTCTATCGATGCATACTATTTCATATTCCATCAAATACTGGTCACATGTAAGTAACTTCTTTCATTGAAGAATATAATACATAATTGTTCCATTATACTTCACATTGTAACATTTCAAATGTAGGGGAAAGTAAAACCGCTTTTCCTGCGCCACGAGGGTTACCTGGGTGCGATTGGGGCATTTTTATACGGCGCTGAACAGTCGGATGAACATAGCTGGTTAGAAAATTATGCAGGTTCTTCAGGATTCAAGGATTCAGTATGCACTAATCTTGGAATTACAGTTGATCAGTTGGAGATTGACCAAGCAGAAAATGCTGTCACATTTTGCCCATTATTAAAAGATCCTGCAACTTACAATCCTGATACAACGGATCTTGCAGAAGACAAAGAAGCTAGGTAAATCATAAGGTTTTATTATTTCCACTGATATAATTGAAGATATGGCAGTATAATGCAAATTATTGATTACAGGGATTACTGGCTTCAGTGCTTCGAGGAATCGGTGGATAAGTTTGTGGCGAGAGCTATTCACAGTCAACCTCATAGCCCAACTGCAAAGGACAGAGCAACAAAACTTAAGGAGAAATATGTCAATAGACTACATTATCTACACTTGCAACCATTGTAAGCTCTCATCAATAATTAAAATGTAATATCTTATAATATGTTATAATATAAAGTTTTGCAATATAACACTAACTCTAATTATATTACAGTGCATATGGAACGCTCACTGTAAGAGTATTGTTGGACACTATTGAACATTGTATGAAGGAATTCGACTTCCCCGATCCCTATTTACATGTAAGTAACTAAAGAATTAAAAATCCTGGTAAATATTTTCATCGTCGCTTATATATATATATATACATACTGGAAATGTTTTATATTTTAAAGCAAAAGAAGAAGGAAAACGAAGAAGCTTTAAATCATTTGAAAGAACGATTAGCTGTTGTGGATAAGTTAAAGGGAGTGGAAAAGACAAGTGCTTTAATATTAGGGGTTCTAAGTGGTAATATGTTTGATTGGGGTGCGAAAGCTGTTGCTACTTTAATGGAAACAACAGACTTTGGTTTTGCAGAGGCTGAAGCAAAAATACCAGGTATTCAAATCAAAATATATAGTTTAGTTGTGTTAAGCTCAATGATTCAGTGCTTTGAACATAGGTAGGCCCTGGTTACGAGACGATCTGGATGATTGGATAGAAAGATTGGAAGTAGGAAAACCTCATAAATGCGCAGCCATTTTTGTCGACAACAGTGGAGTTGACATAGTGTTGGGGATTTTACCATTTGCCCGAGACTTATTACAGCGAGGCACCAAAGTAAGTGATAAAAATGACAATTACCAAATCGATGATTGTGTGACAAATGAACTTATACAATTATCACTGTTTCAGGTTATACTCTGCGCTAATTCAATGCCAGCGTTAAACGATGTAACATATCCAGAACTGGTTGTGACGTTGCGGGACGCAGCAAAAATATGTAAAGTGATTAGGCACGCTCTGAAAGAAAATCGATTGATCCCCATGGAAACGGCTCAAGCAGGACCTTGTCTTGATCTTAGGTAAGTATTAGAGAGGGTCACACATCCTGCATGGTTGGTTTTATAGATACTATGACAATCAATTTAAAAGATATTATTTTGAGAAAAATGGCAATATGCTTCATTTCACGAATTGGTCTACAAATTGTTATGTATATGTTTGCTACACTGGAAGAAATTACAAGAAACGAAAGGAATTCAATATTTTGAAACCACCAATGTGGAAAGACCCTTTGAAAAAGATTGGCGCACGTTTATAACATTGGGATATATTAATGATTTTCAATTGTTTGATTTTCAATAGCCGCCTGAATCTAGATCTGTGTCTCGCGATGGTAAAGCATAACGTTGATCTTATTGTAATCGAAGGCATGGGCAGAACACTTCATACAAATCTTTACGCAAAGCTGACTTGCGAATGTTTGAAGCTAGCAGTTATTAAAAATCGGTGGCTGGCGCTTCGTTTAGGCGGTGACATGTACTCCGTGATATGTAAATACGAGCGACCACAACCAAAATCCACCATTTACGATGTTGATATGGGAGAAAAATGTCCATCGGAGTGTATCGATACAAGGGTGCCAGAATGTACATGTGAGAACGATGATTAAAACCATGAAGTTGTAACTATATTCGACAATACACATTGGAATACGCTGACCTATTTAAAATTTCATTTGAATCTGTAGGGACTGAGAACTAGTTTGCTAAAGTATTGATCTAAACTTAAGTATGTATATAAAATATTTACCGATACTTTTTATAACATTTATTGTTATTTGTTTCTAACAATGCAACTACTACAAAACTTGCGAATAATAATGATAGAAACTTGGATGATTGCATCACGTTTGGAAATGAAACAATGCAAAATTATTGAAACATTTTTCACGTTCTCAGAACATCAGACTTTTTAATACAATGAAGTCAACCAAGTTTCGAGAATTAACTTACTTGTTACTTGACCACGAGGGCCTTAGCGTTGACAGAAGAATACCGATAAGTAACAATTAATGCCTAGTCAACGATAACAAAATTATTTTTTCTGTAATTTAAAAGAAGAAAAAGGTTACCGTAGATTAGTGATAAAGTAACGACGACCAATTGTAACGATTACAAACATGTATGCGAGGTACCTGTCTCGTGCATGTATAAATACTTCGCACACCTACATGTACGACGTAATACTGTACAGTATATCTTCTGTGATAATACAACATTCAAGAAAGAAGTCATACGTTCATGTGTATTGAAATTTGAGGCGATATAATGGAGTGATACATACAAAATGGAAGTACTCTAATAAGAGAGACAGAGTGTTTGCGTCCTGAGGAAATTTTGTTTACGATAATCCACTTGCGTTAGACTGGACATCATAAAATAAGAGTTTATATATATACATCTAATTAATCAGATTTCGAAGCGTTTTTTTATATCTTCATTTATCAAAGAAAACTAGTATTCGGAAAAATAAATGTCTAGAAAAAGTTGTTTCATTCGTCCTGATAATCACGAGCTCTAATATCTAATTCCCGGTTATGTTAATGATGCTTGTACTGGAAACGCATAAGTACCACAATCGCACGAGAATGATTTCTAGAAGAAGAGAATATCAGAACAACTTAATCGATTTTAACGAGAATGTCGTAATGGGACCGAGGAACGTTGTTAAGAGTTGAAAAAAAGTGTCTAAAATAATAGGAAGAACCTTAATGGGGTTCGTTAATACTCGACTTTCGATGTACGTGTATGTGATATTTCGTTTGGTTTATAACGTGTAAATAAAAACCTTACTTTTTGTCGAACCACCACTGCAGGACGTTTACTAATCGATCAATATGACTCCAGTGACACCTGTTACTTTACAGTGAAATCTGCAAACGAGAGTCTTTATCTTAATATCTCACTCAAAAAACATTTCAAACGTAAGAACACCAAGTAGTTGAGTTCCGAACTTCAACTTAATTTCAACAAATTAACACACAAAAATCTCCAAAACAATTAATTCATCCAAAACAACATCCAAAAGATATTGATCCAAAAAAAAAAAATAAATACCCAAGAAAAGTATTCAAAATTTATTAATAAACCCTTCAAAAAACTTCCAAGAAATATTAACCCTCGTCACTCCCCTTCCTCCTTCCAAAGTGCTTCCAAATAAAAAAAATGTTAAACGGATACATGTGGGAAAATGGTGATTTTATCAAAATCAGACAGTTGACTCGTGGTATCATGTGTAAGTGTCCGCGACAATGAAACAGCGGATAAGCCGATCCTCTTCCGGCTAGCACAAATAGCTATCTGATACCATTCACTAAAAAGTAGCAAACGAGAGTCTTCCGTTTACGTGTTCGCGATCCTCGGAAATAGCAAACGACAGTCTCTAAAATGAGATTCGCAACATCCAGTCTAAACACTTATCGAAGGCATGTCCATAATCTTCGAGACTGCCTCGGTCCGAATCGTGACGATTCAAGCGTCTAGATAAAATGGAAATTCAGGCCAGCTGGGTTCGATCTATATCATCCTGGACCAGCAGAGAGGGGCAATCCCTGGAGCTGGAAAGGATCGGGAAGAGGTCGGTCGGTCGTAGGAAATAGAAGAGAGAAGTGTCGGTTAGTGAACTGGGGTGAGAAAAAAACGAGGAGGAAACGAAGAAAAGGAGAGAGAGGAAGAAAGAGAAAGAGAGGGAGAGAGAGAGAAAGAGGAGGGCTTCTATGCATGCTGGACACGCTCCACGTCCATTTCTTTCAGCCACGTCCCACGCAACGTCCGGGCGTTCGGCTTTATTAAATTCCCGTTCTCTGATATTGTCCAGCCGCCTAACTTCAAGCTGGTTCACGACCCGTTTCTAGCTCGTTCCAAACCGTTGTCCCGTCTGTTTTCCACCCTGCTGCGATCGATGCATCCCCGAAGAACATTTCGCCATCTTCGACCCGATTCGACGACTCGACAACTCTTTCACGTCGTCGACAAAGGGGACTTTGCGGGATCGCGTTCGACAACCAGGTTTCAAAGAGACAGGAGTGTAGATTAATTTTAGAATGCTTGGAGTAACCGCGAACAACTCGAATTCTAGAAATAAGCAATTAATATCTAGAGAAAATTGAACGAAGACCACGCGCTCGAGGAGCTGCGATCGTTTCGCTTTGATTAGACGGTAAAGTGAAATTTAACATTTCTACAGGATTGTACTTTTAAGCTATACGCTGGTGAACGTTACAGGAAAATATCGCAGAGTCGTAAACGCGAAGACGATGAGACCGAAGAGCTATCTCGAAGTTCGTGCAAGTTTCAGAACAAAATCTGTGCGCGACACGCATTCTACCCTTGCGAGGGTAGCAGAACCTTCGGCACCGACCGAGCAGTCTCCGCGGCATTTTTCGTGCCACGAAAACGTCATTCCGTAATTTCATGCAGATTACGCGGCGGGGTACGCGTGTGCGGTTATTCGCAAGCCTGTATACACGACCGGGACGTTGTGTGGGTGAATATTTTGAGCCCCCCACGCGTCAGCTTTAATTCTCACCCGGGATTCCTTCGTGGCTATGGATCACAGTTGCACCCACGCATCCGAGCCTTAAATCGCCCGGTGAAAATTACACGAGCGGCGGCGAGCATTGCCGGAATCGATAGAGCTTAGGCTTAAGGGATGGAACAGAGTCGGGGGTACGTTTCCTCATGGAGGAACGAGTACCTCCAATTATTCGATCCGGATAATTTCAGATCCCAACGAGGGCAGAATATTTAACGAATTATGGAAATCCATCCTGCAGAAAGAGCGTTTTCAAAAGTCCAAAATTTTACGTGGATATACAGTGACCCACAAAAGTGTTCGTGCACTTTTTAAAGCGCAATAAGTTTTTCAATAAGCAAGACTTCTTGGAAACTGCAATGCATAAAGTTAAAAATCAGAGAAACTAGGAAGCGAATGGTCCCTTTTTTTAACGTCGATCCATTGATACTTTTCGACGAATTATTTTAACTAAACCGATACGTTATTAAATAAACCGCTGGACAATAGTTCCTTACTAAGAATATTCCTTCATTTTCTCTTTCATGCTCTGAAACATTTGATATACATTTTATACGAGCAAACGAAGCATAATTTACTAACAGACTGCGGATCTTTACGCAAAATAAAAATCGCCTGCATCCGTGTCAAAAACCAAGAGTAACTTATGAATCTTTTGTTTCTTTTAACAATTACAGAGCAGGTCGAAAGTAATACGTCGATACTCCTCGCTCAGTTTTGTAACAAATGCATAAAATTCGCGGTCTATTTACTTGTTTCGAGCGTAGACGAAATTTCCGACCGAGCTCAACGTAGTTACCAGGGATGTAGTTCGTCTTGCGTAACGAGCAATTTCCGGAAACATTCGTCTCAGAGATCGCTAAAATCCTGCGTTTACCGCATGTACCGTGTGTCGCATGTACTAGTACGCGAGTAACATACGACGCGAGACCTCTCCGCGAGGTAGTTCTTCAATTTGCATTCAGGGGATCCGTAGGGGCCAAAGAAGAGCCCGGGATCGCCTGTAATACCGGAAGAATGAGGAGACGTCGTGAAACACGTTCGAAACTCTACTCCCGCCGATCAGAGAAGCTCCCGAATCTCCATCGGTGTTGTGTTAAAGCCGAATAAGGAACGCCGCACGTTCGATACCGAGCCAGCCATCACTCCCTAAAGCTCCGTCGTGGCTCGACAACGTTGCAGTCGGGAACAGCGTGTGCAATTCCGGCCTCGCGGCCTCCGAGAGGTCTGGCGCATAGGTGCAATTGCGATCCGCGAGGGATTCCACGGAAAGGGGATTACGGTCCTCCCTTTGGGGGCGGGGGCGGGTGGAGGGAGAGCTCTCCGAGTGTCTGATAGCAGAGACGAGGCTGCGATCCGTGATTGCGTCGCGAATGCCGACGGTTAACGAAACTCGTTGACAAAATCACGGGAACCCACCCACCGCGCGTTTTCTTTCCGTTTTCACCGGTATCGCGGGAAACACGGATAACTGTATTCGCATTTCCATGAAACTTTGCATGCGAATGTCGCGGGTTGAATGCGTCTCGCGCACCGGCTTCTTTCCGCTTCGGCCGGCTCGGCGAGGATTATCGCAACGCTCCGAGCCGTATTCGCAACCTTATGCGGGGCTCGATATAATGGCCCCGCGAGACCATTGAGAAGCAGCCCGTTATCGTTCGACCCCTTTCTCATCGATCCTCCGGGAGAATGGAAATCAGTGAAACTCGGAACGCCGAAAGGTGAATGGGATTCGATTCCGTGATAAATAAAGAGCTTCGTTGGAGAGGGGTTCGTTAGAGAAACGGATCAATTGCGGATGCACGATTCTAGCCAATAAGAAACCGTGTTCGATGGGGGCATTTTGTTGAGCATGTTTTAGTTACTCGAATTGCAAGTTTCGAGGAGGGAAGCATCTTTGGAAATATAGAACTTAGAGACGCGTATTATAACCGGAGATCTATTAAAAAAACGAGAAAGAGGTTTTTTTCTTTTTTCTTTTCATTCCAAGTAGTAGTAAAGTTAAAAAGTAGCTTTTTAGTCATCGTTTAGTGTAAACTAGTCCCTCTATCGTCTACAAAAAATTCAAGTCATTTAATTGAGTTTTCATCGCGTTTGTAATTAAAATAGTCTCGAGTGCAAAGGGTTAAAAGTATAGATTCTACATTTTAGTTGAAAATGCGTGTGGTACGATCGCATATCTATGCATTTGATTTTCTTTACCGAATCGAGCCGAAAAATAACAGTTATATAATGAAATATAATATCGGGGTTCCGAAGAATCGAAATAGTTACGAGACTTTTTCGGTTCTCGACAACTGTTTCAAGGATCGAAACTGATGTCACAATTGTATCGAATCCCCAGTTATAACCATCTCTTCCACTTCACAGCGAAATTGCTGCTCTTTATCTTCGGTTAATTCAGACTTGTTTAAAGCACGAATTATCAGAGATAATCGAGATCCGTGTAAGTCGAAAGTTTCCGAATCTGAGAACGCTGAATTTTTTAGCGTCTGTTAGAATCGTTCTTTGGTCTGCTTTACATCTAGGTCTGTAGTTTTGCGCGGTGTTCCCAAGCTTTCCTCGGATAGCTCGAAAGCGTTCGGCGGCGGCCATTTGTCACTCGTGCACGCGAAATGAAGTTATTAAGATGGATGCGGTGATACCGGGACTCTGATAGATGGACGAGCGCAAGTACGGTACTGATAAATTTCCGGAATGACGAATTGTCCCCTCCCGTTTTACCATCGACCTCTCCAATTACGTTAATTTCGTAATTAGAGCACGTGCTCGCCGGGGCGAGCTTATCTACGCGAGTGGGGCGCGGCGCGGTAGAGGTTTTTCGATGGTTGATCGTCGCCGGTACGAAATTCGTGACAGGGCAGCGACGCGATATCGACGCGCTCGAGTGCGCTGACAATTTCATCGTTCCGGCGTTGGAACGTGCAGTCGAGCGATCCTCGAGAAAATGTGGGCCAAGAAAACAAAACTCTTCGTTACGAGCGAATTATTCAACGGGACGCGAGCCGGCGCGGAAGTTTCAACAAATGTTTGTTGAGAAACACGATGCGTTCTAACTTTCGCGCGGTCGCACCTCTCTCTCTCTCTCTCTCTCTCTCTCTCTCTCTCTCTCTCTTTCGCGAAATAGAATATTCTTGTCCCGCGAGATCACAACGAGATGTCACGGATGAAAAAGTTCATCTGGAGCGCGTGTCGGACGGGCCCAGAAATAGGGAGGCGAAACGTTTATTAAAACAGCTGCTTCACGAGAGCGCGTCACGGTTTTAATTTCGC